CTCCGCGGGGCCCTCCCTGCCCTCCTGCCCCTGCGGGCTCCGCGGGGCCCTCCCTGCCCTCCTGCCCCTGCGGGCTCCGCGGGGCCCTCCCTGCCCTCCTGCCCCTGCTCTGCTGCCCCTGCGGGCTCCGCAGCACCAGCGTTGTGGCTGAGGGCAGCCCCTGCGGACGAAGGGGACGGAGCTGTCCCGCTTCACGAGGCGATGGGGGCGGAATTGCYGCCCGGGCCCGCTCTGGAGCCGGGTGTTGGGGCCGGGCCTGCGTGGGGCCACCGCGCTATTCCTGGTTAAAAAGGGCCCTTTCTTGGGTCCCTTGGGGCCACTGGAAAAGGCTCTGACATGACTGGAGTTGTCCTTCCRTGGACAAAAGCCCAAGCTGCTTTCATTGTGTGGTGTCACATGCAAGTAGCCGTAGGCATGGAGCAATCTCCTAGCGCGCTGGGAAGCGGGGCTGGAGCCACCGGCTTCCCACTGGCCTCCCGAAGCAAGAGGGGGTCTCCAGGGCCTTGTCTCTCAGCAGTGCCCGAGTGCCGCCACGGCTTGTGGAGGTGGCCCCTAAACTAATCTCCTCTGCTTGGAGCAGGCACGAGCTCTAGAAAGTTTCACTAACAGAGAAACTTCTGGAAGCTTCACCAAAACACCCCAGCCCTTCACCAGACAGAGTCGTAGGGCTGACATTTAATGAAGAGGGAAAAAGAAAGCCAAGACGATCAGCTGAAGGGTACATAACAATCAGGCTTTCTTGCACGTTCAATTTTCCATGTTCAGTTTGTTAGCTATATTTGGACCAAGAGTTGGTTTATGTAATAGCAATAATAAAGTCCTGTTCAGAAAAGTTGTGTGTAAATTAATTGTAGGGGGAATTTTGTTAAAACCAACGGGATTACCGTGTAGCTGAAGCATGTATGGCACCCAGGAAGGCTTTCACGCAACTTCATTTATTTAGTTACAAGAGATGCTCCACAATAGTGTATAAAATCTGTTGCATTTTTATTTGGAGTGAAATGAAAATGCAACCCAACAGGGTAGGGAAAACATTATGTAGCATCCATTTTCAAACAAATGGATTAATGTTTTTAAATAGTAACTAGATAGTATATAGGTAAATAGTACTATTTCTGAGGATATTTATAAATAATGATGTCTCTAATAGGGAATTTCCTAGTATTGATTTTCCTTTTTGTGCAGAGTTACAATTGCAAAGAATTTGGGCAAAGAAGAGGGGAAATTGCCAAGTTAAAAGTGCTCATGCTCCTTGTCTTCTGCCAAGAGTGATTTTTTATCCCAGTTGCCCTGAGCTCTGGGTGTCCCTGCTTGAGCAGAGGGGTTGGACTAGACGAACACGAGAGGTCCCTTCCAGCCTCAACCATTCTGTGATTATGTGATACCCTTCTCCACTTCTGTGGATGGGTTGGATCTGATAGTTTTTCCTTAACTCTCTTGATGTTGTAAAATTGAAACATTTCTCTTGGCTTAAAACAGAAAAGTGATCATTAATTATTATTATTATTATTTGTATTATTGTATTGTATTATTGTATTGTATTATTTGTAAAAGAAATTMATTATTTTAAAATATTATTTGTAAAAAATACAATACATAAAATACATTTGCAAGTAACAAATTTCAATAAAATTGCCCATATTCCTTGTTTGGGATGAGAACCAGAGTATTATTTTAAACATTAATAATTTGACTTAATTCTTAATAGTGTAACTTTTGGGAGGGCGAATGGTTCTGGAATTGCACTATTTTGTGGACATTTTACTTAACCTTGTGGTAAATTTAACTCAGTACAACATACACACAACAGTTCAATGAAAATATACCAGCCTAACCATATATGCTTGAATTATCCATAATCCAAATTGTGACGGTGGTGAAATTATTGCACGTATTTGTTCTGTAGTCAAGGTTATATTTAGCATTATGAGCTCATTGTGATTAGCTATTGGGTGTTCACATTCTGACTAGTTAATTAAATTTTAACCTGAATAACTTTATTACTGTAGGAAAGCTCTTTGGCTTGTACTATGGCAGACATCATGAGATGGAAGATGTCATTATACATCTTACAGCTACCTAATATTCCTTTTCCAAAAGCTTTATGAATTTTGAAAGTACATAGGATCATAGAAATGACGTTGTTCAGCTCAAAAGTTCCCCTATTTCAGTATGTTCATGTTCATAATACCTGCCAGTAGGAGGGAAAGAAGGTGAAAAAAGGACAAGTGACAAGTGTCTATTATCACAATAATCATGATATTATCCCTTAAAGCTTGAGCACCTGAAAGGCATCTCTTGAACTCCTGCATTATTGTGTTTTATATAGCTTGGCAACTTTTCCCATAGATTTCTTTAGTCATTTTTGAACTTTGAACTTGCCTCTACTTCAGCCTGTACCAAGACTTGGGCAGCATTCGACAAGACCAACAGGCCTTGTTTGAAAAGCCTATGTAAGCATGTTTCATGGAAGTTTAATTAGTGTCATCTCATTCTTGTTCTAACAGCAAAAGTTTGTGCTTTTCTCACCTTTTTTTGATACCACTCATGATTTTACAGAACTTGTCATAGCAATTTTCCGTTGTCCTGCTTTCGTATTGGAGAATCCTGCTATGTTGCCTCTTCCCTCTCCTATCTCCTCTTCATGCAGTAGCTTTCAGAATGGGTCATAATTGACAGCTTTTGGCCTGCTCAAACTCCCAGGGCAGCAGTTCCTACTATTTTTTAAAGTTATTTGCCTTACTGTACCTTTAATGTGTAACCTTAATGAGAGCTAGGCCTCAGCTAGAGCTCGCAGTGATCTGCATRGAGCCTCCCAGCCCTTTAAGGCCCCAAGTCCTGTGCAGGGCTCTAGAGCAGAAAGGAGAATCGTGTTCCAAAATGTGACAAGGCCCCTAAGTCAGCTGGGSCTTGGAAGTGGGTGTCTCTTGATATTTTTATTAGTGAACTTCACTGAAAAGGTAAAGAAAATACTTTACATTCAAAAATAAGGTATCAGTTACATAAACAGGACAAATGTTTTAAAGAACGAAAATTAAAATGACAAGGTGAAATGGAATAGAAATAAAAATGATTTGAAAACAAATTGTCTGTTGCTATTGTGTGCTTGTGTTTGCCTGGGCTCTCAGTTAACTTTGTTACGACCTGAGAAAATTGAACTAAGAGGTGAGTGAAGTTGAGCAGTTAACAGGGAGTGCTCTGAATTGTAGCAAATAGTGGTACACACATCTCCCTTTCTGCTTTAGAAACCCCCCTCTTTTAGTCTGTTTTTGCATGACAAGCAGAGCCTGAGTAGCTGTCTGCTCTTCTCCCTGKTTTTTCAGATGTTCTGCCTGCTCTTCTTCCTTGGCTCCCTCTTGTCTAACCTTGCAAACGGATTTTATTTTTTCCTCTGAGCAGGCTAAGGYGCATGAGTTGCTTGCAGTAATGAGCTGTGCCCTTTCCCTGCAGGGAGTTTCACCTTACACTGCAACTCTGTTTTCRAAATAACAGAATGTAAGAATCTAGAACAGACAAACAAATACTGCCCATCACACAGAGGTTTCACTGTAGGTATGATAACATAGCTAATGTCATCTTGTCACTTCCTTGCAGAGCATCACCCATCTGTTACAGGAGAAACATGGGAAGCTTGAAAAATGTAGGACAAAAAAAAGCAGCATCCTGTAATGGTTTTCTATGCATTCTGCAATGGGACTCCTGCTTTTATGGAAACTGTCTGCCTTGGCCCTGATTTAATACATCTGAATATATTTTTTGCCCAGCTGTCAGCTCTTGAAATATTTCAGTGTGCTTCTAAGCCTAATGGGTGTTCATGTAGCACAGTACATACTGTGGCCAGCTTTTGGAGCAGCACTAAAAATCCCCTTGCAGCTCAGAAATATTGAGGACTAAAATATTTCTTCTCTTATATGTCCCTGAGTGCAAATATGCAGACTTTAGTTTATGCATATTTAGTAAAATAACAACAATAACGGGTGGGTTTTTTTGGCTTTTGTTTGTTTACATTTTTGTAATCATTAATTATCAACTAACAAGGACAAAATGAAGAGAGAAGTGATTATACTTYCAAACCTTCCTGTATGCAAAATCCTGACCTGAAATGCCATTTACCGTGTATATGGGAAATGCTCTGACTTTGTGAGGTTAGTTCTTTCCACATATGAAAAACGCTTAAGCACTTGACATAAGATAATGAGGCTCTAATGCACCAGTATATAGAGTTAGAAAACACATAAAAAAGAAAACTTAGGACATTGAATCTGTCGATTTCTGCACCTTTTTTAAAACTTGGAGAGAACTTTCTGATTCTGGGTAGCTTTTATCTATGGCTTAAAGTCCCCAGGTTTCTCCAGAGAGATCTTTTGATCTCTTGGATCTCTCAGATCTTCATTTCTAGGTGAAGGTTTTGGCTCTCTGGCTGCACTGAATTTACCTATTGGGATTTGGTTTCTCTTCATTTCAGACCACATTCTACCTTCCCTCAGCGTTTCTAACAATGAAGATGAAAACCAGGAGTTTTCTGCCAGGATAACTGCCAGTGTTGCTCCTACACAGAAACTGGTGTGAATACCTAGGAGGGCATTCCTCTCATCTGTGCTAGGGCCACCTTTGCACATCACAGGTGAGAACCCCCCACGCAGTTGCTGGGAGCA